CACACACACACTCTCACACTCACACTCACACACTCACACTCTCTCACACTCACACTCTCACACACTCACACTCACACACTCACACACACACTCTCACACACACACTCACACACACACACTCACACACACACACCTATCAGAGTGGCCAGAGAGCAGTGCGGGACGGTTGGAGAGAACCTGATGATGATCAGATACTCCTCGTCGCCGAGCTCCTGCACCTCCACACACTTCTCCGTCACCACGTCCAGCTCCTCCAGAGTGTTGGGCTTCTCCGGGTCACGGATCGTCCGAATCACGTCTGCCAAAACATCATCAACACACACGTAAATATCTGTGCATACGTGACAAGATTTTACCACGATGTCCATCAAAATATACCATATTCCATATAACACACTGACTGTTAGATACTGGAAATATGAAGTGCTGTACCATAATACATTAAATAGGTAAATATGATTCTGTACCATGGTATTACCAACTGACACCATCAATGTACCATGGTAAAACCTTTTTTTTTATTGTGGATATGTACCATGGTAATATCAAGGTATTCTTTGAAGTGCCACAAAAAAAGTTATATGACTGTGGAAATGACTCCATGGTATATGTGTATATATATATATATATACTGTATATAACAGTACTGAATCATTACCATGATCGTATACCATGTACTTCAAAGAATACTCTAATATTGCCATGGTACATGTACACAAAAACAAGGCATTACCATGGTACGTTGATGGTGTCAAGTGGTAATACCATGGTATTTTGTATATTCACCATGGTACTAAATCATTACCATAATCATATACCTTGTACTTCAAAGAACACCATCATATTACCATTTTACAGATCCATAATAAAGAAACAAGGTTTTACCATGGTAAATTGATGGTGTCAGATGGTAATACCATGGTACTTTAATATATACCACAGAACTGAATCGTTGCAATAATTAAATACCATAATATTTCCATGGCATTTCAAAGAATACCATCATATTACCATAGTACATCCACAATAACAAAAAGAAGGTATTACCATGGTACATTGATGGTAATACCAAGGATATTTTAAATACATAATCATATACCACATTTTACCTTGTACTTCAAAGAAAACCATCATATTACCATAGTACAGCCACAATAGAAAAAGAAGGTTTTACCATGGTACATTGATGGTGTCAGTTGGTAATACCATGGTATTATATATATATATATATACCATAGTATTGTCACCTGACACCATCACTGTACTGTATTTATTGTGGACATGCAGCATGGTAATATCATGGTATTTTTTGAAGTACCAGTTAAAAATGTTACATTAACATGGTAATGATTCGATACCGTTGTAATATATATAAAAGTACTATGGTATCTCCATCTGTGCAGCACAGTGCGTCTCTGTTAAGGTCATCCTGACTCACCATACACCTCCAGCGCTTTTTCCTCCATCTTCTTGCTTCTCTTGTCGTTCGTCGCGTCAGAAAGTCCCGTTAAACGCCAGGCTCAGCTCAGCAGTTCATGTATGCTCCGCCCACTGAAACCAAAAATCTCGGAAACCGAAAATCTCGTAACACCGGTCCATCTCTACTGCTGCTCTTCTTCCGCATTCACGCAGACCAGAGCGATCAACAGCCGAGCACAACTATCGATGAAGGACACCGTCAGCATCAAGTTTCATTTTAACCTTCTGAGATCGTTTGATTTGATTGTATGTAATGGTTTAATCATTTAAAAATGTTAAAGGTAGGGTAGGCGATTTCACTTTGATAGCATAAGATCCCACACTTGACCTGAAAAACACATGACCTGCGCAGGCAGAGCAGAGGCTAACCAGCAACACAATTAACAATATTACAATTAATAATTAGCAACATAACAGTACGAAGCGCGTAATATTACAATAATAACGCCTTTCGTTCTCGCTGGAGCGCGCTGATGACGTTTCATGTCTGCGGGAACAGGATGCGCGGAAGTATGCAAATATATATGTTGACAGGCAGGCAGGACAGCCTATAGTAATGTTCGGACCGAATAATCTGATTGGACGAACATTTTATGGTCCTACGCCTTCCACAGACGATATAAATACATATAAATACATTTAGACCATTTAACTGTGATTGCTATTGGGATATGAAGAGACTTTCAACTAGCATAAATAAAATGTTTTGAACCAAATCACCTACTTTTTATTTATTTTTTTATTTTTTTATTTTTTGCTGTCGTTCTATTTTTATATATATATACACACACACAGACACACACACATGTTAAAATTTTATTTAAAGATATACATGTATGTTTGTGTATTTATATATACATAATAAATATACACAGTACACACACATATATTATGTAAACAAAAACTTTTATTTTGGATGCGATTAATCGTGATCAAATGTTTGACAGCACTAATATATATATATATATATATATAAACATTAAAAACATAAGCTAGTCAAGATCATCATTTAGTTATTACACATGATGGAAAATGTATTTGATACTAAATTGCTATTCTCTTTCATTTTTTTATTCTGGATATATTAATATTATTATTAGTAGTAGTAGTAGTAGTAGTAATATATTTTATGACAAAGACCTTTTAAATATTATATGTTGTAATATATGTAATGCAAAAACAAAACATTTGTTTCTTCATTTATTAATTTATTTATTGCATTTCTCTTATTAATCACATACAAACAGTGGTAAAGCTGTTCTTCGTGATCAGGTTAAATCATTCAAAAAAAATCAAGTCTAAAAATAAAATTTTTTTTAGTGAGTTAATTATTTATTTATTATGATGTTATTTATTCTGGACATAATAATAATAGTTTTTTTTCTTTCTTTCTTTTTTACTGTGTTGTATGTTGTCAGTGTGCTCTTGGTTGGATTAGTGCTGTGTTTGATTGGTTTTCCTGCCCTCTCTTTCATCATGTGAGGATCATGTGATGCTCAGCTGTGGTGTGTTTGCAGCAGGAAGGCTCGAGCTCGTCTGAGTGAGGAGGATGCTGGAGCTCAGACCGCGCTGGAGGTGCATCTGCTGCCGGAGGCTGATGTGTGTGGAGCAGTGGAGCAGGCGCTGAAGCTCAGCAGTGAATGCAGCAGGTGAAGCGAGCCTGAGGAGCCTCTCTGAGAACACAGCAGCACAAGCCTGCACTGAGTGAGCCTCCACCTGCGCCGGGCTGCAAATACTGCCAATGCTGTCATGGGTGGACATCCTTAAGACTTTTTTCTGTGCATTGATTGCATGTTAAATTTCAGATGTTTACTTATTTTTCTGTTATTATTTTATTTTATTATATGTCTGTTTTGTAAGTAATCTGCAGTATTTTATGTAATATGTACATGCGCATATTATATTTTATTGCATATGTATATATTTAGATATTTACTTCATTGTGTGCGTGTGTGTGAGAGTGTGACAGAATAGTGTACGGCGGTAAAGTTAGTTTGATGTTTGACATTCATTAGACATTCGGGTTTTTTGCCAATTAAACTCTTTGCAGCTTTTATGTTTTGAGCCCAAACTAACTCAGATAGACATAAATATATGCCCTTTATGTTGCACAAGGCTTAATTTCTAGGAATTAAAAAAAAAAATTAACCATTTAAATTAAGTAAACAATTTAACTACGTGACATTATAATATAAAAGATATAAAAAGATCAAATTGTGTTGTCGTTTAATGGATTTATATTATTGCATACATTAAAAGTTGTGAAATTATTATAAAAAACATAAAATTTGTAATTCCAAAAACGGAGCTTTGTGCGATAACAGGTATGTTTTCCCGAACATTTTAGTATTGGTTTTATATTATAATGTCACGTAGTTAAATTGTTTAATTAATTTAAATGGTTAATTTTTTTTTTTTTTAATTCCTAAAATTAAGCCTTGTGCAACATAAAGGGCATATATTTATGTCTATCGGAGTTAGTTTGGGCTCAAAACATAAAAACTGCAAAGAGTTTAATTGGCAAAAAACCCGAATGTCTAATGAATGTCAAACGTCAAACTAACTTTACCGCTGTGAATAGTGTCATATCTGCAGCTGGTTTGAGTCTGATGCGATTCAGCTGATGCTTCATTGCTTGAAACTGCTGAATAAAACAAGTCGGTGTAAATTCGATTTGTGAACTGATCGTTGCTCCTCCTGAACAGGCCAAATTGGAATAGAATTGATCCTGAGACCCAAGGAGTATCGACAGCCGCTTATGTTGATGCTCCATTCCTCTGATGACCACCAGATGGAGGAATTCCCTCATCTCTAGATCTGAAGGTAAAAGCCATGTTTTGCAGTCCAGTAAAGTTTGCAGAGTCCCAGAGAAAAGCAGCAGCCTTTCCTGATTATAACGCTGCATTTCACAGCTTTTCCATGCAAACGTGCTGTTGAGCTGCATAACAAACATCTGCTCGACACACAGCATGAACACGGCGTCAGAAGCAAAGCATTTGAGCTATTTCTGCCACGTTGTTTGTTAAAACGGTTGCAGGGAAAAACATTTTAAGTCAAGTCACATACAGATTGTTCCAAAGCAACTTGACATTAATAAACAGGAAAATAGCTGTTAGTGTAGTAAAATTAATCAATTATGAAACATTTAATTTCAGATGTAAAGCAGCTGTACAGAAGATAATAGTGGCATTATTCAGCTAATTCTATGGAAGCTTGTTTCCGGCGTGGAATTTAACTGTTTATCTTACAATTCAGACTTTTTTTTTTATAAACAGAATTGCGAGAACTTTTTTCTCAGAATTCAGAGTCTCGCAATTCTGACGTTTTTTCTCGCAATTCCAAGTTTACATATCACAATTTTGACTTTTTTTCTCGCAATTCTGACTTTTGTTTCTGCCACAGAATAAAAAATAAAGAAGGTAATTGCGACTTTTATCACAATTCTGACTTTTTTTCACAACTGCCTGAATAAAAGTCTGAATTGTGAGGAAAAAGTTTGCAATTCGATTTTTTTTATCCCATGGCGGAAACAAGGTTCCATAAAATTCATTAACATTGTCAATGTTGCAAAGTTCGTGTCATAGTGTTCAAACAATAATTCATAAAAGAGACAATTCTATGGTTTATTACTCAAGACATGTAGAAACATTGTGCTCTAGAAAGTGCAGGTGGACATATGAATCCCAAACGACGTCAAAAATTGATTTTTCTAGATTAAAAGGAGAGACTTTTGCTGGAGTCTCCCTGGATATTCATGTCTATTCTTTGTGCTGATCTTGTGAGTTTATTGATTCTTTGGCAATATTGCATGTAAAAAGTACTTTGGGTTTGGGATCTAAATGTCTCAACCTGTGCTCTGAGCACAGTTTTGAGCTAAGTAGGCAGCATTTTAAGGCATCATAAGTGCTTCAAAATGTGAGTAGCATAATAATGCTACCTTATAAGATACATCATTTTGGCCAAATTATGAGGCAGCATTGCATGTATCCGTCAAGGTGAAGGCAATCCCAGAATGCATTGCAACAAGCTCAGTGAAGAAATACATCTAAATTAAATCAACTATTTTTACCCACTTTGTGTATGCATATGTTTCTATATTCATGGTAATTAGAGCATCATGTCAGTCATTATCTTAATATGCAAACTTTATTTTAATCAGTTATGAGTCGAGTCTCTCAAACAGAGCCCTGAAAACGCTAGCAGTGCCTTAGCAACCACCTTGAACACCCTAGCAATGCCCTAGAAAACACTACCCTAGCAACACCCTAGAAACCGACACAAATGTCTTAACAATGCCTTTTAAACACTATAAACTCCCACCAACACCCTAGCAACCATCCACAACGCCCTAGCAATGGCCCTAGCATCCACCTACAACACCCTAGGAACATAGCAACCACCATGAACACCCTAGTAATGCCTTAGCAACCACATTAAACACCCTAGCAATGCCCTAGGAAACACTACCCTAGCAACACCCTAGAAACGACACAAATGTCTTAGTGACGTCCTAGCAACCACTATGAACTCCCACCAACACCCTAGCAACCATCCACAACTCCCTATCAATGCCCTAGCAGCCATTCATAACAACCTAGCAACCAACATGAACACCATAGGGACGGCCATCAACACCCTAGCAATGCCCTAGCAACCGCAACCACTGTGTACACCCTAGCAATGCCCACACAACCACCATGAACACCTTAGCAACACCCTAGCAACTACCCACAACACCCTAGCTACCATCATGAACACCCTAGCAATGCCATAGCAATGGTCATAAACATCCTAACAATGCCCTAGCAACCACTATCCTAGAAACACTCTAGAAACCAACATGAACATCTTATCAACACCCTAGAAACCACTATGAACACCCTAGCAGTACCCTAGCAACCACCCATAACAACCTAGCACCCTAGCAACCATGTAAACCAGAGGAATACCATAGCAATGGCTATGAACACCACTAGCAACCACTACCCTAGCAACCACCACAGACTTCTTAGCAATAACAACACCCTAGAAACCACTATGAACACTA